AAAAAAAAAAAAAAAAAAGCACAGAAATATTAAAAGTAGTATATATCTTTCAGTCATCATCTGTGTCGGGTGGACATCAGCCCCAATTCAGACCTGAGAACATTTGACCTCTCCCAATTCAGAGACTGCTGCTCCATGAATGTGTTTTTAAAAATGTCTGTGCCAGGTTAAAAAAGAAAAAAAAGAAAAGAAAAACTTGCTGGGGCAAGTAGGAGTCAATCTTGAATGCTCCCCCCCTTTTTCCTCCCCATTTGACCTTTAAGGCTCTGGTTTCCAGCAAGGAGTAAATTATTCACATCCGCTCATAGATATCAAATTGGCCCTTTCCAGGTTGCCAGTAGGGTGGGACAGAAGGTGGCTTTGTTCAGAGATGGTAAATAGGCGGAGCCACCGCCTTGTCCAAACAGAACGCAGGTGGGTACCTGTTTTTACTAAACCGTCCCAGAAATGCTCAAAGGCACCTGGTGAAATCTCTGCCCTTCCTCGCTTCTCCTTCCTCCCCACCAGTCAACGCACTTAAGTGCGCTCACAGGACTGGGCAAGGCTCACTGCACTCGACCATGGCTTCTTACATCGCCAAGTCTTTCTATGATCTCAGTGCCATCAGCCTGGATGGTGAGAAGATAGACTTTAACACGTTCCGAGGCAGGGCAGTGCTGATTGAGAATGTCGCATCACTCTGAGGAACAACCACCCGAGACTTCAACCAGCTCAATGAATTGCAATGTCGCTTTCCCAGGCGCCTGGTGGTTCTCGGCTTCCCTTGCAACCAATTTGGACATCAGGTGAGTAGTCCCCTGGGTTCCACCCAAGGAGTTGATTGATGGAGCTTGAGGCAGATAAAGAAGAGGGTGAATGTGTGTTGGAAAATCTGGAATTGAAGGGCATGTCTCATCAGTCTAGGTCTAGGTGAATGTGAAATACCACAGGGAAGTAGATATGCTCTGAGATTAAATATTAAAGGTGTGACTTTTTTTTTTTTACTATCTTTCCAGAATATTCTATGAGGGTTGCTACCAAGTCTCTCCATTCTGTCTTTGCTGGGTTCCATGCAAAGTGATTACTTGTTAAATGAATGAATGGAGAAAATAGAAGGTTTCAAACTAAGATGGCATGGTAGACCATCTTAGGATTCCTGGAATCCCAGAATGGCAGTGTGAGGTGGAGGCTGAGGATTGATGTGAGTTTGAGGCTCCACTGGGCTCCACAGCAAGACCTCATCTCAGAAAACAGCCTGCGAATATGGCTCGGTTGGTAGAGTACTTGCCTAGCATACACGAAACGGTGGGTTCGATCCCAAGCATTGCATAAACCAGGTGTGGAAGCTTGCCTATAATCGCAGCACTTGGGAAATGGAGGCAGGAAGATCAGAAATTAAAGGTAATTCTCTGACTACAGCTAATTTGAGAACAGCCTGGCCTGGAGAAGTTGTCTCAAACAAATAACTGGGGTTAAGCTAAGAAGTACTTGGGAGTCCTTCGTTCTTGCAGCCATGGTTCTCCACTTTAATGGCTGATGCCCTTGAAAGATGCACTTGGTTTTCCGTTGGAGCTTCCTCATCTGTTGATTTTATATAAGTCGACTTAGCTCACAGGTTTATTGTGAGGCTCAAGGAATAAGACACATAAAATTAACTAGAAAGATGTAGTGTGAGAATGCAAAGCGTTTTTATTATTTAAATTAAAGGCTTTGTGTTTTAATCAGCAATTCGGAAAAGGCATATGGGAGAAGGGAAAGGTGTGCAGCATGCATTCGCCTCCTCTGGGCGTCACACGCATCTGCCTGTCTCTGAGTAATGGGTCAAGTTAGTACAGAGCTTCAGCCCATACACTTGAAGCTCTCTTTTGGGGATTCTGTTTCCACTTAGGATTTAACTGTACAAACAAGACAGCTGTCCCTAAGCGGACTGTCTAATTAGAGTCCCCTTAGTCAACTCACAGTGGCAGGAAGTTAAGGAAGGACCAGCTGAGAAGGATGGCTGTGGTAGACCAGAGACCCAGTCAGTCATCACTGTGCTCACAGGGCCTTCCCTCTCAAGTCCCTTTTCAGACTTTGTCTGAAAGGGTGAAACCTCACTGGAGGCACATCACCTCCCCGGAGGTGCGTCTGACCTCACACTTACTTGTGGCTGGCTAGCTGCTGGAGGGAGTCATCTGCACTGAGAGATCAGCAGTCTAATAGAGATCAGCGGGGGCTCAGAAATGGCATGGTGGCCTGGACTGTGTTAATGGTCCCAGTAGGTCAGAGGCAGGCACTTGCAGAGGGAGCTAGCTGACTGAGCCTCGAGAGGCGGGGTGGGAACTGAAGGTTCTCACTGGCATTTGGAATGGGGTAGGGCGAGGGTGGGAGTGGGGAGGGAGAAACAGGAAACAGGTTCTGAGCTAAAGCATTTGTAGCTGAGTGCGGTGCACGAAGACGAGGTTCAGGAGACCTTTGGATGGCAGTTTAGAAATGAAAGGAGTGGTTATGTACCCACAGTCTTTGTCCGTAAGTCTTTAATTGCTTAACAACCGGGCCAAGCCCATTTCCAGGACAGTCACCTTCCATCCTGCTGGT